ATATGTTATATGAAAAAAAAAAAAAAAAGTCTAGATATGATATTTGGCCTCAAATCATCGGAGGCCAGGCGCCCCCCCTGTGCCCCCCCTCAGGTTGGGAACCACTGCCTTAGATATTGATATTTGCTTCTCCTGTGTGCTTGAAGACTACCTTACTGCTTTAAGCCGACTTTTGCAGTTTTTTTACGATCAGCGTCTGACACATCGAGGTCTGACTCATCGAGGTCGGACACTGATGTTCCTTTTCCAGCTTTTCCACTCCAACTTCTCTAGTCTGCATTGTATTGAAATGTCCTTGTGTTTGCTCAAATATCTCAATATGCAAAAACTATCACATCGTGCTTTTTTTTTAGATGTCCTTTAAACCTTGGCCTATATCATGATATTTAAAGGGATGTGTCTCTAGTTTGAAGGTGCCAATCCTAGTTTTTCCATGTATCGGGTTTAAGACTCAGGATTTGAAAAATATAAAATGTGTTACATCTGCTGATTTGTCAGGTTGTTAAAAGAAAGTCAATATTGTAAGCTGTGTTCCCCTCACTGCAAATGGCCTTCAAAAAGACCTAATACATTGCTCTCTCGTACTGTAAGAGCTCTTAATAAGAATCATAAATGTATCAGTTGGTATTGTGCACATTTCTTTCGAATATATTGACAAATAAATGAATTCATTGTATGTTTTCTTGTGGTTAATGTTGTTGTCTGTGCCATTTTATGCTGCTATCTTACCCAAACATGTAGCCAGGTAAGGAGAAAGAGTTGGAAATCAACTATTTAAACCCTGCAGAATTATAATTGACATGGCTTTGGGACCTTTTGAATATGACAATAAACAGCTAGCCTTTCCACAACATTGCACCTCTCAAGTGCCTTCAATATCTTTTTATATTTCCTCTAGTTGAACACATGTGCAGCTCCCAAAAAAACAAGCCTTTACACGTTTTTACTTCAACATTAGGTATGTGAAAAATGCTCGCTTGATAAAAGGGTTTGCAAGGTTCACCCATTCCTTTATATCAACCACAGAAATATATTCTCTAAAGGGATTTCAGATCAACTTAAAGCAGATTTAATTATTACTAAAAGTTAAAAGTCCTTGCTTTTATATCATAATTATTCTTCTCCATCAAAGCCAAGAACTAAGCACCTCAGATTGTTGATATTTTAGTAAATGACTGCCTCTTAGGTAAATAATAAACGTTATGTTTGAGGTAAGGAAAATAATAAAAGTTCATCTTTGTAAAAAATCCAAGAGCCTTCTTCATTTTTAAAGCAGTTTCCCAGAATGCATCAGTGCGCCTCTGTGAAGTTGTTCAGGCACGAGTGTGTAACTCGACACCTGACATCATCTGTTTTAGGGATATTTTGCATATTTGAATGAAACCAGATGTAGTCTCCCTTCCTGGAAAACAAAAGAAACTCCTCCCCAGATCTGGAGCTCCCGTTGAAGTTCCCCAAAACCCAGCCGTTATAAGCTCACACACTGACACTTTAGCAGTAGAAGAAGACGGGCTCACACTCACTGAACTTCGACAAACTCTCTGACTTTTGGATTTAAGGTAAAGTTTCTTAAGTAATGCTTTCAGTTTCCTGCTATCTTTCTCTTCTGCAGGATTAGTTTTGAGGTTTGTAAAAACAATTTTCAAAGGCATTCAAACTGAGGAATGTTTTGCGCTAAACTAAACGAACTTTTGTGTAACTGAACTGAACTGAATTAGAGAACAATCTTTATTACAGGAACTAATTTCCCACTAAAGACTCTTAGATGCCTTCCTTTCTGCTCGTATAAATTCATAAGTATGTTTGCCAGCTATAAGAAAGTAATCAGTGTTAATAGGATTAGGATTAGAGAATGATGTCTGACCCAGTTACTCCTTAAAAAACTCATAGTGTGAATCAGAGCTGCAGCCTTAACTGCGAGCTGTTATGTCACCATTTAAAACAAGTGATTCTTTGTGTGAAGTATATGAATTCATTTGTGAAGCCGTTAAGATAACTCTAATGACTAATACATCAACAGAGTGCATGTTTGCTTTAAGATTAACTGTAAATGATTTGCATAGATCATGAAACCTTACTATTTAAATCCTGGCATGCCATCAGACCACACGGGGGGAAGCCAGACTGCAGACACAATCAATGTGTGTAGGAAGCAGACAGCGCACAGCAGCCTGAGCGTTAAAGACATAATGTTTACTTTCTGCCTTTAGTTTGGTTAACCTCGACAGGTCGATGGAAGCGGTGAACTCAAATGCAGACTAGAAGCAGGAGGTGATAAAACAAGAACAAAAGAGACACTGATAAATCACAGATGGGAAGAAAAAAGAGGGAAGCAAAGCTAGGTGACGGAAATTCAAACTGCGGTGATTTAAAATGCATTGAGAAAATCCTTAAAGAGAGAGGAAGCAAACTTTTTTAACAAGAAGGTATTTAGTTTTATTCTTTACGTAGTGGCTGGTACTCATTGGTATGCAGCTCCTGACACACAATGTCTTTAAACATATGATGTAATTTACACTGAGGACATCTCCCCACCACTTTTTTAAATAGCTGATTTGACAATTAGACAGCAGACAATGTCAATATAGAAGAAACAATTGTCGTTGTCTAACAAAGTAAGCTCGAAAAGACAAAAGGAAACCCTGGGCTCCCGATTATCCAATCACACAAAAGTCATATTTTAATGATGCATATGGGTGACCGTTAATTGTGTAAATGACAATATTTTCGAATTAATAATAGCCTTTGATGTTATGCATGTTTTCCAGACCGTCCGTAATTAAGTAAACACACCTTTTACATTTCCTAAAACGTATGTTGAACGAGTCCTCATGCCCCAAACCATTTTTCAACACAATTTGCCTACAAAGCACAAATATTCAGCGGTTATCCCCAGACTAGAAAAAGCTCTCACATCAGCAGATTTCTGTTTTTCTACCTCTGACCTCTGGACAGGAAGCAGGTTTTATCTCTAATGTCAGCTGCTCGAGGGTTTCCTAGAAAATAAAAAGGAACAGGTTTCTATTCCTAGATAGTACATTAGGCATGTGACATTGACATCAGTGCAGAAACCCATGCAGTTTTTTTTATTCTCAAGAAAGGATATTGTCACAGGGCATACGTCAAAATAAAAATACAGTTAAGACAGTCAAAAGATCAGAAGAACAAAAACATCAATTTATAGTGTATAGTTATAGTCTACTTATCATGAGTACATTAATTGTCATGTTTTGTGTTGTATACCTCAACCATTTTTCCAATCTTGCGTCACAGATATGATTCTAACTCTCATTTGTTTGTTTTTCATTACATTTCATTCCCTTTAAATCACTTTTTTTATTTAGATTTAAATTGATTATCATGTATTAACTGATTCCTTGTAATTTGATGAACTACTCTTATTACTAGGAATGAGCCCAAAACACACACAAAGTACATTTTTGATCCTGTCGCGCCTTCGACTCTCACAGAGAAAGTGTCTAACACAGGTCTCGTGTTTATTCAAGCCCAGATGTGATGTGTCTTAAAACATCGTGTGTGTGTGTTGTTGTTGCAGGATGCTGCAGTGTGTGTGTGTGTTGCTGCTGGCGGCCTCCGCTCTGAGCCACCTGGATGAAGCCTCTCTGGACAGCCAATGGGAAGACTGGAGGAGCACACACAGGAGGGAATACAACGGCCTGGTGAGTGTCCTTCGTTGGTACTGTGTACGGTGTAACACTGAAAATGCACAATGATCTCTTCTGGTGAGGACAGTCTCATGACTTGGGTTTGCCTCCACTGGAGAAAACATGTTGTTCAACTTCATGCTTGGTAGAGAAAAGGAAGGTCAGAGACATGGGTTTATTTATGAGCTGCATACTTCAATGACTCTGCGTTCTTTCGTGGTGAAGCTTCGTCCTTTATTAACAACCCAAACTAAATTGTCCTTAAAGCTTGGAAGCATGAAAGTTAAAATGCTGAGAAACAAATCAGAACTTCAGAGCTGCAAATTCCTCAGCGATCGCATCAAGCTGTTTTTGTTTGATAAAGAAATGCTGAGTCATGGACGGACAGGGGGAACTTCAGACTAGCGTTACAGTAAAAAAAGGATGTCACGCTTGCATTATGATATTTTCGAGACAAAAAGTACAACACAGTTTAGATTCTGGGAAATTCACTTCATGTTTACCAGAATGTTTATTTTGTAAGTGTCAGCTGCTTTCTCGTTCTCTTATCCTAATGGTTTTGTCCCTAATAGTAACCATCAAATAGTTTCATACGTCTTCAGTTTGATAGAAATATCGTTGTGTAGAGTTGTGCAAATCTGTCACATGAGAGTTGATCAACAGTGTGCAACAGATGTTACTTAAACCTGTTGTTATTATGTTAATGGTTATTTGATGTGTTATGCTCTGCTAGAACTATTGGCTTTTTAAAAATGCCGAAAAATGCGATTAAAATAAAATGACGAGTATGGTGATTAAGAAAAGATTCCTTCATCAATAACTTTTGAGAATGCAAGAGAAGCATCCTCTCCGTCCAAACAAGACTAAATGCTGACAGGTGTGTCTCTTTAAATGTCAGAGTGTTACCGAACAATAACTCTGATGACTTGAAAACACAACAGGCTGAGTTCTGCTGAAAATCAAACCAGAAATGTAAGTTTGCTGCTTGCTCTACTTCCTCGTTCTGGCCAGAAAGATTGAGTTATAAAACAGAGAAGCAAAAGTACAGCATGTGCACGATGATCATTTACAGTGGTTCTATCTTCCTCATACACAGCCAGTGATTAAGAAAAATATATTTTAAAAGTGTGTCGACTCACTTCTCACAGCTTCTCGTGGTTCGTAGTTTGATTTAGGACTTCCTACTTTACTTTATGTTCATCTCATACTATTGTGTACATGCATGTGTGCGTATTCCTGCCTTCAGATATAAGTATAGTGTGTGTTACAATGCTGGAGAACAACTCAGTGTAGCTTTTACACATGAGAACAAAGACCTTTGCTTCTTAAAAATAGATTTAACCAGGCCTGTATTTACCTGGTTAAACCTTGATAATTAACTAAGATCAAATCTAGCTTCTGGCCGTAAGGAAGTAAGAGAACGTAGGTGAGTCGGTGTTAGACCAGAGCAGACTCTAGATGTACTTCCTGAGCGCTCAACGGGCATCTGCTTTCCCTCTGCTCTTCACCTCTGGCTATAGGTCACCACACAGCTGCAGAGTGTGTGTGTGTGTGTGTGTGTGTGTGTGTGTGTGTGTGTGTGTGTGTGTGTGTGTGTGTGTGTGTGTGTGTGTGTGTGTGTGTGTGCGTGTGTGTGTGTGTGTGTGTGTGTGTGTGTGTGTGTGTGTGTGTGTGTGTGTGTGTGTGTGTGTGTGTGTGTGTGTGTGTGTGTGTGTGTGTGTGTAGTGTGTGCTTAGGTTCATGCACAGTAGCTAAGTGTGTTTTATGTTGTGTATCTGTGTGTTCATGCATGCATTCATGTGTTGGTGTGTGTGTTCATTATATGATGTTTTATTTACATTCTTGTGTAGTCAGCTGAAGAGACCCTCTCTTTGTGGCGATTACACCGAAGTGTTTCTCCAACAGTTCCTCTCGCCCTCCTCGAGCTGTTAGAGAATCAAAGTGTCCCGGCAACATTTGCATTTCCCATTACCGGAACATATATCAAGATAGAAATAATGATCACAGTTATGCTAACGGTTGTTATGACCATGAATACGAAGGAGAGCATGTGTTTGCAGTTAGCCACCATAGCACTTAGCTGCACCTTATTCCCTTTTTGTGATGGACGAAATGCAAATGACTTTCTTTTACAGCACATAATGGGCACTTAGAGTGCTGGTGAGATGTACATGTTTATAAAAAGTAAAGGTTAAAGCAATATTTTAACAGAAATGACCAATCACCTGGACAGATATGTTGCTGCATTTACTGTTACATGGAAGATGGCACTGTGAGTGTGCGCTGCTTTAATTGGGCTAATTAATGAAATGGGGCTGTAACACAGATAAGCCTCCTCTCACTGCTAATTAAATTGTAAATTTGCCCTATTTACCGTGATTACATTCTTTGAGCTGTCAGGAGTTGACGCAGGAAGAAAGGGAGGGAAGCAGCTTATAGGAATGGGGAAGGTGACTCAAGAATCTGACCTCATTATGAAGACCATCAGGTAGAAATAATGACTGGTGACTTCATGTTTCAGGTCATAATCAGTGGTGGAAGAAGTATTTAAATCCTTAAGTTACCAGTACTAATACACTGTTAAAATACTCCATACATTAAAAGTGATGCACTGAGAATGGTACTTAAGTAAGTGTTTAAGTGTCATCAGGAAAATGTATTTAAAGTATTTGGGGTAAAAGTATGTAAACAACTATTAAATCAATTGAGAAACTGGATCAAATGTACACAAAAAATACAAAAAATCTGTAGATTTATGCAAAATAAATATCTGTCAACCCACTTATTGTTTGAGGTAATTAAATATAATGTTCATTAATTTAATCTATATCAATACATCATATTTTAAAAGTTTTTTTATACATTTGAACATTGAAAATCTACATTTATTTATTTTTTAAATTTTTCATTACAAAGAAAATCCTACATAATGTCATTGAGCAGTCAAGTACATACTGTAGATGCAACAGTGCACATTTGTAGGATTTTCTTTGTAATGAAAAATTTAAAAAATAAATAAATGTAGATNCTCACTCTGGATTCGGAGGTCCTCCTTAGCTATTAGCTTCACGTTAGCATGTTTGTAACGCGTTACACCCAACTCTGGTGTAAGGTCACTGCTGAGTACCACAGACAGGCTTTACCGTAAGTCTTTATTATGACATAAAGGGTTTGCATTCATTATAAAACATTAAAGAGATGCAGGAATATGCAACAACACAGGAAGAGAGCAAGGTTTATTTTGAGTTTGAGGTAGAGAAGAAGCACTGTCAGAAAACAGGCTGAGTCGTGAGTGGTGACACAAATAGATGAAAATGTCGAGAAGCAAAGGAGGTGAAAATAAGTTTAGCTGGTGAGAGAAAACATTTCTCCCAAATGCCACCTTTCAAAAACTAAAAATAAGATCATTGCTGTTAGATATGTTTCACAACGGACCCTGTGTTCCTTTCTCTCTCAAAGCTATGTGGCATTTTCAGAACAACTCTTTCTCACTTTAAATGAGAAAAATGATACCACTCTTGTGTGTGTCCACTAAAAATAAAGCTAGCAGTCGGTTAGTTTAGCAAGCAAACACAACTAGCCTGGCTCTGTAAAGAAAAAAACCTCCTTAAAAGACCTGTAAAGCTTGCTTATTAACACCCTATATTTGATTTTGTACCCAAACAAAAACGCAGTTTCCCCTTATTTTTTGTGCGTATCTAATGCTAACAAGAGGCTAGCAGTTTATCCTCCTTTTTGTTTGCGAAGCTAATGCTAACTGTCTATTCCTTTGATGAAGTTTCCAACGTTCCCACAAGTATTTGGCATTTCTTTTATTAACGGTAGTAAAACCTGAGAGCAGGATTAGCTGAAAAGAGTACAAGGAAGTTTATAAAAGTTAACAGCATTTAATTAAACAAATGATGCGGTGATATACAATGAAATGTGCGAGTGGAGGCGCTCTCCCCATTCAGCTGTTGCCTGTCATGTTTGCGAGGTGAAGAAGAGGTCGATTCTTCCTGTCCATCACGAGATATCAACTGTAGTCTTCTTCTATTGGCCGGCGTCGACGGGGGCGTGTCCAATGCAAATCCTGCCGTTTTCTGCTGCTAAATTACATAATTCTAATGTCTGTGGTTATTTAAACATTCCCTAATAACAATATTTCAGCGTCAATAAATGAGGATTAAAACCAGTGTGTTTAGGGTACAACATCACATGTCATTTCACCTTCAATTCACGGTCTCAAAATGTAGCATTCGCCACATGCTAATACTAACCGGAAAATAGATTTACTCAGAAATAAAACAGATTTAAATTAAATACAGTGTATTTAATTTAAATTGCGCCATATCAACATTGATTTTAATTTCTTACACTTTTCAAAGCTATACAACAGAAAATCATAGTAGCATATATGGGACATAACAATAACCATTTAAAGTAAATCAAAAGTAAAGTCAATGCCAAGTAAGATTTTGACAGGAGATATTGTCGTAGGCGGCAAAACACTTGATACAAATGTTTATTTGCAGGGATATATGTGGAAAAAGATAGTACAGAGTCTGCTTCAATGAATTTCTCATTGAAAAGAGGATATATTGATATTTACGACATTTTAACAAGGAAGAATGAGTCTAGTAGGGAATCAAATCATCATCAGACATTGGTTTTTCACACGACAGCAGCTATTTGCGGGGGTAGATGGATGAGGCCGAGAGGAGAGAGGAGAGGAGATGGACAGAGAGGGGGGAGAAGAGGAGGGAGGAAAAGGGAGGAAGAGGTGTCTTGTTTCTCAGTGGAGCTGCCATGAAATGCCACCGTGAAAAGAGGGTATGGATGCTGTTGATAATGTTAGCATTTAGAGTCGATGTGTCCTGTCGCGTTTGCTCAGGGAGAAACACTTTTTCAAAAGAGCAACATTTTTGATTGATTGAAGGTGATAACAGCAGAATCATATTGGACAACATTCCAACACAGTCTCACGGCATTTCGTGTTATAGTCATGAAATGAATCTATTGATTCTTGTTCACCA